GACTTCCAAGGAAGAAACGTAAGGATAGTAAGATGGCACCAAGGGACTGTGATCACAAGTTTATGTCGGGTAGGTGTATTCTACTTGTTGCTTCATAGTTCTGTTTTCATATAAGTATGATGTCTAATAATTATACTTTCTGATTAGTGTCCTATTGCGTTCATTCATTCAATTGATGTGAGTTTTGGAAATATTTATTATTATTATTATTATTCCTTTCTCATCCGTTCATAGTTCAGACTGAGTTTGTTAGTTTATGCTAAACTAAGAAACTCTGTCTGAACTATCCAAAACTGTGCATTCTATTTCAAATCGAAACGTGGTCGCTAGGCAACTTATGCCAACTTCAGGCGGCCAACGTCGGTTTAAGTCAAACTTCACGTTGCCAAGTTCGGAAACGTCGCTTCTCTTTTGTGTGTACTTACTTTACAATGTTGCGACTTAGAAAACCTTAAACATTTTTGTCCATTATTGAATCAAAAATAGGTAGGTACAAAGTCAATCGTAATTAAATATAACCATCGTTATGTGAAAATGAATATAATACTTGCTGTTATTTACATCAATTGTGATTTTATAAGGATATTTTCATGTAACTTAATTTTTGTTTTTTAGTACCTAGTAATGTTTATGCTTTTTTAGGGTCCCGTAGTCCTGACAAGGAACCCTTATAGTTTCATGTCCGTTTGTCTGTCCATCCTCGTTTTGCTTGGAGACTGCTAGCACTAGAGAGTTGTAACTTTGTGGAGATATGTATATTAATCACACCAACAAAATGGTAGAATAAAGTTTTGAAAAATAAATTTTTTTTAGGGTAGCTTCCCTACATGTAACCTGTTGATGAAGTTTTTTTCATCGTCTATCTCATCGTGTGGGATATCGTTGAAAAGGTCCTTTAAAATTACTGAGGGGTTCCTAAGACTAGTTTTCGATTTAGGGAGTCATTTGCGAAATATTGAACTTTAAAATGCCACTTTTTGTTCAGGTAGGGCGTCTCCCGTCCCTCTAAAAACTTGGAAAAATTCATGATGGATTTCATAAACTTTTAAGGAAAATTATAAGGGTTAATATAGTTACTTGTTAGTTTTAGAATTCTAATCGTTCAACTTTGGTTAAATAAAATTTCTTACCTATTGAAAATTCCTTAGAAGAAAACATTCAGTAATTAATGTTCTGTTTTGAGAAATAAATGTCTTAAACCATAAACCATAATTAAGTGACATAGATGAACTTATAGTAGCGTAAAAACTTGCATTGAAAAACTAAATAAAAAATTGATTTCCATAATTTCCGATACAGAAAATAAAGAGTCCTGCTTAAATATATTGTGGTAACGACTGGCAAATACGGAACCCTACACTGCGCGTGGCACGACACGCACTTAGCCGGTATTTTTATAGTTACGAGAGTCATATGTTCCAGCATTTTATTAATTGTATTTTAAATTTCAGCATAAAATTTATTTCTTCCCATTTCAAAACCACCAATCCGAATATGGTACATTTTAATGAATTCTGTGCCCATTGAAAATACCTTTGCATTGTAAGCCTATTTTGGTATTCAGACGGGGGGGTGTCCATTATAAATGTGTATTTACCAAATAACACCACTACGACAGAGTGTTAGTTCTACTGCATACCCACACTTAATTTTCCATTTTCTCAAAAGCTTAAGCAAATACCTAACGTCCATTATTCAAACTCAAATGTTCCGCGTTTGCGGGACGCTCTCTGGACAAGCCGTGTTTTGTAAGAATAATCAGTTTTGCTTCCATGCATTGTACATAACAGTTAAACGAATTTGGACTTTATTATCTGAGCTGGAAGAGCTGATAGTTAACTTCTAGATGCAATATGAAATTTGCTCTCCTAGACAAGCATTTATTTGAACAGGGTAATGTGACGGAATGAAGATAGGTCGGTTCATTGTGCACACGATTTGATACGGTTATAAAATAATGTCTCCATTTAGTTGTTGATGGACTGTCGAATACTTTTGAGGAAAACCTATAGACAAAGAGGAATTAAAGTATAAAGTATGTTTTTTTATGTTTAATAGGCAAGGTGTTTGACCAAAATCTCGCCTGATGGAGAGCGATGGTGAGGCCTAGGATGGTACACGCCTAGAAGATGCCTGTTTACTCTGGCCTTGAAGATGTCCAGATTATATTGGTCCGGGAAAACAGACCTCGGTAAGGAGTTCCACTCCCTAGCCGTTCGCTTAATGAAAGCGGAAGCAAATCGCTTCGTGCGAATGGGAGGAACTTGGACAACATAAGGGTGAAAGCCCTCGCCACGCCTGGTCGTCCGGTGGTGGAAAGGGGAAGGGGGAATCAAATTGTGTAGTAGCTCCTCACACTCTCCAAAATGTAACCAAAAAAAACACCGAGAGGCAAGCTACACATCTTCGGTAGTCAAGGCTCTGGAGATTAGCCTCAACGAGAGCGTCATTGCCTATGAATGTCTTCGCACGGTGTTCCACCGAGTTCAGTGCATCCATGTGTTTATTTAATGTTAACAAAAGATACAACAATAGTAAATTAAATATGTCGTTGAATTCGTCTGTGCGGGCAACGGTCCCCAGAAGACTGGCAAAGTTACCTCGCTGTATTGACAACTAATCACTGAGCAAAAGACCTACCAGATCTTTGGTCCCCTGTGGTCTCGCAAAGTAGTCATCTAAAAGAATTAACTATTTTCATTAGTACTGTTTTGTGAGGCACTTTAACTGGCAAATTGCTGATTTGACACCGTTTGGATGCAGTTAATTCCACTTCAAAAGATTATTAAAGAAAAGTCTGAAGAAGGACAGTTCCGATGATTTATGACATATGCACTAGAGGAGCTCGATGGCGCAAGTGGTTAGCGCGTTCGGCTGCGATCGTTGAAGTTAAGCAACTTTCGCAGTGGTCGGTCATTGGATGGGTGACCAAAATTTTACTATCTCGAGCTCCTCCGTGCTTCGGAAGGCACGTTAAGCCGTTGGTTCCGGCTGCATCTGCAGTCGTTAGCACCCACCAATCCGCACTGGGCCCGCGTGGTGGGTCATGGCCCAATCTCCCTATTCCATCCATAGGGAAGGCCTGTGCCCCAGTAGTGGGGACATTAATAGACTGATGATGATGATGATGTCTTTATAGTAAATGGTTTATGTACAATTATTGTCTACAAAGAACTCCCAGAAAATGAATAAAACTAATTGAAAGATTTGCTGTTTAGTTTTAGAGCTGTTGCCGTTGTTTGGACGCTAATGTTTATTTTATTTTTGTTATGTGGTACTTCAATAAAGTATTATGAAAACGGTAAAAGTTGGTAGGTAAGTGTTGTCCTAGAAACGGTTTTAAAGAGCAACAGTGGCACTACCTTTCTGCGATTTATTTCATAAAATGAATTTCAAATATCTTTTTCAGACATTTTAGACAAATAACGCCACTCGTGATAATAATAAAAACATTAATTAAAGAAGAACAAAATTAGTTGAACAAATAGACTTCCATGAAAAGTTTTAGTAAGAGGTTTTATGTAAAAACTTTCTTTTCTACAAATTGAATTCTTTTTTTAAACGTTTACAAAAGAAGTAAGTTTTTCGTGAAGCACCGAAGGAGTTACCACTAAAGAGTCACGTGCACAAGCACCGTTCACGATGAACAACCACACGGCCGACCTCAACTTCCGAAACATATTTCCCCCCTTTCGTTAGAAACCATAACCACAGCACAATAGCAATAAGGTTTAAGGTTTTGCCTAGCGAGGGTTCTATCGTGGAGGTTTTATATCGCGTAAAGCCCGCACACTTACCGCCTGCCGTTATCTACCCATCTGCCATATTGTGCGTTTCGCCGAGCTTGTTACGGCCTCAAGGTTCCAGACAAGAGATGTGACATACGGTAGAGAGTTGCGTTAGTGACCGCTCCAACAATTTGCCGGTCGACGGTTTTGTAAACAGACGGCTTCAATTGGACAATGAAATTCATTTGTTTTGTGTGCCTTTATCTTGTTTATTTATTGTTATTTGAGTGTGCAGATTGGAAGATCATTGTATTGGTCCTATATTCAAATTATTAGATACTAAACATGGGTACACGTAACCAGTACTATACGGTGCAATACTTATTTTTGGCTTGAGTACCAACATTAAAAAATATTTTAAATTATGTTATTAATGTCTCAAATTAATATTGCTCTTCTTGCGTTTTCTGAATTGACGCACCCAGATAAACTGGGAAATTCATCGATATATCTCATGTTTGTCAGATAAATTACTTGCCAACAAACTGTTCTCAGGTTGGCAAGATATAAAATTTTGTTATCAGGTGAACCCAATATAATTACAATAAATCGAAAAAAAAAGTTACACAATGGATATTAATATGATAAGTAGGATTTGCTTACGATATTGATGAAAACTTTTTAAGGTTGTCTGAAAATATTAGACACGCGTCAAAATTCATCTCGTATGTTTAATTTGAGGTTTTCCCAGCAATAAAATTTGCATAACTACGCTCCTTGGCACGGGCACAGCGTCTTATTAAATTTCCACCCCTCCAAAACTCATTAATGGTTTGTACTTAACCACCTAGCGATGTTATTCTGTGATAAATCATAAGGTATCACGTAATAGGTCCGTGCGTGGCTGCGGATGACTTTTATTGCCGTCTCAAGATGGAAGTAATCCGAGGGATCAAGGACGGAACGAAACGCCTCAAGGATTTAGGATAATCTTTTGTTTATACGCGGTTTTTTTGGAAAATTGTAAGATATTACGGCATTACGTTCACTAATAATTCTTTTCAGGATTTCTTTGAGGTATTTTATTAGGTATAATTTAAATTAATTACCCAAAACGGCAACTGAAATGGAGCTTCGAAATTATAACTTCATCCTGTTTTCATAGCATTCACCACGTGCTGTAAATAATACAGAGAAATGTTCGTAATACGGACTTTTAAATTGCAGATATCAGTTATCGCTCTTAGTCAACACTATTGGTATAATATTGACCAGACATCAAATGGATCATGTTTCTAAAATTATATGTAATAGTAAACATCAGTTTTGCGCGGACAGTCAGTGAAAATGATTCGTTGGTTAGGACTGATCGCATTTTGTGTATCATTTATTTCATATTCTGGTGGGTCTTTAGTTACTTGGGCGCCAAACAAAAGTTTTAATTTGCCCATAAACTTCGATAAGAACACCTTACCATGCTCAAAATCTACAGTAGTGTTTCCGGAGTCTGTTCAGGAGACAATTCAAATAGATTATTCAATATCAGTAAAAGAGTTAATATTGCCGATAGATGGATCACTTGTGCTTGCGGAGGGACAGTCTATTTTATTTGGGAATGATCAAAATGATGCTAATTGCACTGAAGGGATTATTTATTATAAAGATGATTCTTCATCGGCTTGGGAAAATCCTGGAGTTTGGAACTCTTCAAAATTCAACAAAGCTACACCGGATGCCGAAAGAATTCCTTGCTACGATGACACTGTGCTATTTCCAAAGACAGCTCAATTTACAGTTCAGCTTCCAGACTTCACACAGTACGTAAGTGGAATCATTATTGATGATACAAACTTAACAACAGTAAGGTTTTTGGAACGCATTACCAGTCAACCAGATGGGGCTCAGCAATTCGTTTCGGGAGATGCTTTGAATGAATATCCAATTGTTGTTAGACAGGAGCCATGCAAGTCGACTTCTGGTTGCCCTTGTCAAACTCACGGTCTCAATATCAACTGTAAACTAAAATTCTGCCCACCACCAAAATGCTCTAATCCAATCAAACCAGTAGGACATTGCTGTGAAATTTGTGGTGGATCACTTTTATTTGAAATAGAAAACTTTAGCATGTTTGCATTTAAAAACCTTGTCCAAACGATAATTAATGATTTTGGAGCAGATGAGTTTGTTTACCACATAGGTATGCTTCCAACTACCGACGTTGAAACTACGAAGACAATGCCTAAACGAGTACAAGTGGTAATAATGGATAAAGGAGAATACACGGGGGCTAGTTCTGAGGTCGCAAATGAGATCGGATATCAAATGTCAAAGGAATGGACTAAGAATGAAAAGCTGGTGCTCTTAAGCGGTTCTCCAAATTCGGAATCCGGACTGGGTAGCAAGATAGCAGTGTCTATGTTTTTTGTTGTTTTGGCTACCTTATTGGCTCTATTTGCGTATTATTATAGGGACACGAAGATAAGCATTTCAGAGTTGCGCAGCAGTTTCAATATGCGCGGTGGGATATTAAACAGATTCCAGGAGCGATCAGATAGTATCGTTTCTTTGACTAGAAGGGACTCCAGTACATCAGGATTACGAGAAGGTAGTGGTACAGCTTTTAGAAATCCTCTGTATGATTCTAAGAGGGGACGAGTTATAGTAACTGAATCTACTTTGGAAGAATAATATTATAACTTTTACTGTAAAAGTACTTGTAGATAGTAAAGATTACCTATTTTGCTTTTATTTCTGAGGCTATTATATCAGCGCAGTACATCACTTTTTAATAAAATATTGGCAGTACATATGATTTTTTTTTAAATTTTTTTTTCCTCCGTGTTTTGTCTGTGTTCATTGAATGACAAATGGCACTTGTGTGATATGAAAAAAACACGGCGTAACGAATCTAAGCGTTAAATAATAAGGGGTTACTGTTTCAATTAATACATATGGATCAATAAAGCGAATAAAACCGTACATAGTTATGTGCAATATCCCTTACAGGGAGATAGAGCACTAAAGAGATAACAAAATGTGTTTAGTGTCGTTTGAATATAATGTAGTATAATTTAAAATTGAATTGAATTTAGTATTAATAAGTGTTAATGTTAAGTGTAATGGAAAAAATACGGTCTACTGTCAATAAAATCTCTTTAGAGACAAATGATATAATTGTAAACCAAATCAACCACATGCATCAAAAACAGAAATTGATGATTTCCTTCTTATAATGTGGAGAGACATGAAACTCGACACTCTCAAATCCAACATTGAAATCGCTCCCTTTGTGAGTTTCCTGCGCTTTGAATGTAAACTCAATCAATAGTATTCGGTTTCACCGAAACTGTTCAAAAGACGCGCCTGCCTTGAAGACTCGTTAATCATCTTGCAGTACGTACGACTGTTAAGAGCGCGAGTTTGTTTAGTACCAATGGTTTTTTATTTGGGAAACTAGATAATAATGAAATTAGTAGTAGCATCCTGATCTCTGACAGCTATATGGTCTTGGATTAGGAGTTCAACTTGTTATTTAAGATAAATTATTGCAATTAGATTGTGTAAATTTATAATAAGTTAAATGCGTTTATGTATTACTTTTTTGAAGTTTCGCACCCTGAAAAGGCTGTGTGTGTGCGCGTGAAAACCAAAGAAACAAATATGTGTAAATATATGATCCTGTATATATCTCTTCCCTGATGGAAAACACCGCGTTTTTCCTATCAATATCATAACACATCATATTAAATATGTGGTCAACCTAAATAAAAACCCTAAAAAGCCTTTTTTTTATAAATCTATTTTCTCTATTATGCCATCAAAAATGCTCGCAGCTTCTTCACTTGAGCGTTTCATCTGCATTGTCTCTAGTAAAGAACGCAACGGCTTATGGTCTTCTCCATTGTCGTTGGCGACCATTGTTTTTGGCCGAACTCTGATTTATGTTCGTTTAACCGTGTTACGCCCCCATCGAGCGTCTGCAACCGTTGACTAATGCGCGCTGTGACAGATAAGCGTGCGTTTGACGCCATTGTGGCTACGAACCGACGTGAATAGAAAATGGAAATTGACAGATTTTGTTTAAATAGGTACAGCGTTACTTGTGGTACCTACACAGTAAAGGTTTCAGTGTCATTAATTTGAAAATTTTCTAGCATATTATTGTGAATTACTTTCCTTGTACTGTAATTTACATTATCTGTTTAAAAATGTCCTTAATACCAATGCATAAGTCTTCCTCAAGGACGGAAGGAGCTCGATGGCGCAGGTAGTAAGCGTGTTCGGCCTGTGTTCGTGGAAGTTGAGCAACTTACGCAATGGTCGGTCATTGGATGGGTGATCAAAACTTATTATTTCGAACTCCTCCATGATTCGAAAGGCACGTTAAGTGGTTAATCCCAGCTGCATTTGCCGGCATTAGCATCTACGAATCCGCATATCATGGCCCAATCTCCCTATTCATAGGGAAGGCCTGTGCTCCAGCAATGGGGACTTTAATAGACTGGTAATGATGATGTAGGACGGAAAGAGAAGAACAAGTCATAGCTACCGCGGTCCTTGTAATAATTGGTGGCTAATGTTTGCAGCTTCAGCAAGGAACAATAGCATTTGATTCCCAAAGCGCAGAGGAGTTCCAGATTATAAAAAGCTCCGACGCACGACTGGAGTTTACTTCTTAAGTTCGATAGTCTAACCAGACGCAAAAAGAGTTTATTTAACTTAAAAAAGATTGATACTGTATGAAAGGGTAAATTAACAAATTAATGAAAATAATATACATACATAAATATATATTTATTCATTTCATATACATTTATTATAACTAATCGACGAAATATTTTACATTAAACTTTTTACAAAAGTCAATTTCAGATGTGCATAAATATATCATTAGGAATGTTGATAAATTATGTTATTATTATTATCAGAATATTATCATTTTTTTAAATATTAATTAAATCAACATTGTCTGCATTATTGATTACAGTGACAAGTGGTTTATGGTAACTAAAATAAGACACATGGACGTTCGTGGATACGTGGTTCACGAATTTTGAAAATACCGCATCAATGGTTGTACCATACCTCGTTGTCCCCATTGCTTTATCAGAAACAATATCTAAATTCAGTCCAGATTTTAAAAAAAATATTATTATCAATGCGTCATCTTTGTTTGTCAAAGTTGCGCGACATAGGATGCGCACCAATAACGTAACGAGGTCATTCATCGATAGATTTTACTCCTCACATTTTTCTCATACCGGGCCCCTTTTCTTAAGGAGTAAACTCCAATAAATTTTGGTCACTTATCTAATGTACTTCCATTGAAAACGCAAGCAGCGTTCTCGAGGGCTTGCACTGCACAGTGGCATACCAAAATTACCAAAGCGGCGTTGATTCTCATTATCATTGAGAAAATATTGTTTCACTCCGATCCTATCCATCTTCAAGAGTGTCACCGTCTTTTCATGCACGTATAAATTCGTTGTTTAGCACATTAAATTAAAATAGATTTACGCCTACACAACAAAATTAAAGTGAAATCAATCCGAGTATGCATAAAGTCGCAGTAAACGTCATGAAAACCATAAAACAAATAAAGCGTGCTCTAAAACTATTTCCGAGTAACAAGCCCTAGCACACATAATTCATAAAACTGAGGGTTGTCAAGTTAACGCGGCTGTGAATCCTGAAATAATGTGTAATAATATGATACTACAAAACAATCAAGTGACTCTTTGTTGTTCATTAAATTTAACTATAAACTGGAGGGAGAATAGAAGTATAGATAAGAAGAGGCAATACTAATAATGATCGTAAACACACAGATCATGTAATATTAACTGAGTGTGTTATTAAAAAAATTCATGCGTCTTATTTCAAAATTTTTTTTAAGTATGTAACTGCTTGTTGTTTAAATCTAAAGAAAATATAAGTAGAAAAAAAATCAACGCGGACCAGGCAGCTGACGGGACTTGAATCCGCACCCTTCGCTGTCCGGGCGAATGCACTGGGAAATTATGCTACCGCGGCCTTGGGGCCGCGTTGAAATTTCTCTAGCCATTTTTAAGCTGCAAGGCAGAGCCATCTCTAACCCACAATGTCAAATGAATACTTTTACAAGAATTAAACATTTGAAAGAAGAAATAGTAATTACAGTTATAATCTTTATTTTATTTTTTAAGCATGTAACTGCTTGATATTTAAATCTAAAAAAAATCATCATCCATAGAACATCTGAGTTTCAATATTTCTTAAAATTAAAAGTGAACTTTTACTTCTGTTTTTCTCTTGAATCCATTTAGATCTTCGACTGCGTTGGAGATAAGATGGGTGTAGTTTTATCAACTTTGGTTGGAGATCCTCTCTAATATCATTGTGTCCTGTGTCCTTAATATGTAAATGGCGCCTCAGCCCTAGTATCCATGCTGAGGTGCCTGTGCTCGAGCCCCATAAATCCAGGGCCGGCATATTTGTCACCGGGGCGCGGGCAGCTCGCCTGAAACGTGTCGACTTCCAATTTTACGACGCCGTAAAATGATGAAGTACCCCCTGTGATGTGGATTTTTCATGTTTCTCCTTTTAATCCTGTCAGGTTACGAAAATATGGACCGCGTCTAGTGAAATCTGAGTCCATAAACGCATACATGGATAATACGTAACGTGAAGCTGTATCAGCATGTTGCGAATTTGCTGTAACAGTTTTGCCTGACGTTCTTAGGAATGTAGTTTTGGTGATTTTATCATCAATGGATAAAGGAAAAAGGAATTTTAAAGGTGCGGGGTATTAAAGTCTGATGATAATAAAATCTTATTTTTGAAAACTAAATCCATTTATCCATGTGACGTTTAAGGACAAGGTAATTGCGGATCTTCGGTGTAAGATGGATAGGTGATCGAGTTGAACTAGTGAAAAATAGTTTGTATGAATCATAGCTTCAACATGCACAAATGTGCTGATAATGTCAAATCCGGTATTGTATTAAAATGAGAAGTTTCAACTTTAATTTTCTGAGACGAAATTGTCCTCCAGTAGCAGAAATCCGGTATAATCTCCCTGGGAGAGGTTAAAATTTAAGCTCTGTGGATGAGTTAGAAACTGAAAACTAAATTCCATCTAAATCTGTATTCAAAATTCATTGTTATAAAAAGGCAACATATTACGATAACGTTCTTATAGTCCGGTAAAATTAGACAGAAAAAATAAGAGCGAAGATACATAAATTCACATTAAACTGAAAGTGAGTAAAACTGTTCAAAACATAATTAAAAATAACATTTCAAAATAACCCATAGTTGCGGTACTTCAAAAAGGAATTACTCGACTTCAAAGGTCAAAAAAGTGGGTTATTGACGATTTTCATCAAACGGCAAGTTTTATCGTAAAATTACTTAAGTCAAAAATAATAGATCTTAAAATTATCTATAAAAAGGGAAGCAATATTTTTTTTCCTAAGAGGCACCATTTTTGAGATATAACGAATTAAAAAATTGTAAGCATCATCTTCCAGCTTGATCTAAATTTATGTAGTACCTTTGAATGTCTAGATTGACCGGACTATTATAAAAAATGCTTTTACGTCGACTGTAACGAGCACTGAGTGCAACCGAGGCTAAGATTCTCACACCCCCTAAACTATGCCAGGGTTTTGTTGCAAGGAGGGTCCTAACTGGATTACATCTCGAGCTATTTCACCCGCATTCGAGAATCATTTTAGCGCGAGTAAGGATTTAGAATAGGGCGGCAAGTGAATTAAGATGGATGGATGGATAGTGCGGGGTGTTGCTGCGTTCAGATTTTATAG